ACTGAGTGACTGACTGAGTGACTGAGTGACTGACTGAGTGACTGAGTGACTGACTGAGTGACTAACTCACCTTATGAGCTGCACCACGGTGCTGAGCCACCCTACGAGTCACCACACCTCCCCTGGCTGGAGTGGTGAGGCTGTGTGACTGACTGAGTGACTGAGTGACTGAGTGTCTGAGTGAGTGAGTGACTGACTGAGTGACTGACTGAGTGACTGACTGAGTGACTGAGTGAGTGTCTGAGTGAGTGACTGTCTGAGTGAGTGTCTGACTGAGTGACTGACTGAGTGTCTGAGTGAGTCACCTTGTGAGCTGCACCACGGTGCTGAGCCACCCTACGAGTCACCACACCTCCCCTGGCTGGAGTGGTGAGGCTGTGTGAGTGACTGTGTGAGTGACTGTGTGAGTGAGTGACTGAGTGAGTGACTGAGTGAGTGACTGAGTGAGTGTGTGAGTGTGTGACTGAGTGACTGAGTGAGTGTGTGAGTGAGTGTCTGAGTGAGTCACCTTATGAGCTGCACCACGGTGCTGAGCCACCCTACGAGTCACCACACCTCCCCTGGCTGGAGTGGTCAGGCTGTGTGAGTGACTGTGTGAGTGACTGAGTGACTGAGTGAATGACTGAGTGAGTGACTGTCTGAGTGACTAACTCACCTTATGAGCTGCACCACGGTGCTGAGCCACCCTACGAGTCACCACACCTCCCCTGGCTGGAGTGGTGAGGCTGTGTGACTGACTGAGTGAGTGACTGAGTGAGTGAGTGAGTGTGTGAGTGAGTGAGTGACTGAGTGACTGAGTGACTGACTGAGTGAGTGACTGAGTGACTGAGTGACTGACTGAGTGACTGAGTGACTGACTGAGTGACTGAGTGAGTGACTGACTGAGTGACTAACTCACCTTATGAGCTGCACCACGGTGCTGAGCCACCCTACGAGTCACCACACCTCCCCTGGCTGGAGTGGTGAGGCTGTGTGAGTGACTGTGTGAGTGACTGAGTGACTGAGTGAGTGACTGAGTGACTGACTGAGTGACTGAGTGTCTGAGTGACTGAGTGACTGACTGAGTGTCTGAGTGAGTGAGTGTGTGAGTGAGTGACTGACTGAGTGAGTGAGTGACTGAGTGAGTGACTGAGTGACTGACTGAGTGACTGACTGAGTGACTAAGTCACCTTGTGAGCTGCACCACGGTGCTGAGCCAGTCTTCGAGTCACCACACCTCCCCTGGCTGGAGTGGTGAGGCTGTGTGAGTGACTGTGTGAGTGACTGAGTGACTGAGTGACTGACTGAGTGAGTGTCTGAGTGAGTGTCTGAGTGAGTGAGTGACTGAGTGAGTGAGTGACTAACTCACCTTATGAGCTGCACCACGGTGCTGAGCCACCCTACGAGTCACCACACCTCCCCTGGCTGGAGTGGTGAGGCTGTGTGAGTGACTGAGTGAGTGACTGTGTGAGTGACTGAGTGAGTGACTGAGTGACTGACTGAGTGACTGACTGAGTGACTGAGTGAGTGACTGAGTGAGTGACTGATTGACTGAGTGAGTGACTGAGTGACTGTGTGAGTGACTGACTGAGTGACTGAGTGAGTGACTGAGTGAGTGACTGATTGACTGAGTGAGTGACTGACTGAGTGTCTGAGTGAGTGTCTGACTGACTGAGTGAGTGTGTGAGTGACTGAGTGAGTGAGTGAGTGACTGACTGAGTGACTGACTCACCTTATGAGCTGCACCACGGTGCTGAGCCACCCTACGAGTCACCACACCTCCCCTGGCTGGAGTGGTGAGGCTGTGTGAGTGAGTGAGTGACTGTGTGAGTGAGTGACTGAGTGACTGACTGAGTGACTGAGTGACTGAGTGACTGTGTGAGTGAGTGACTGAGTGACTGAGTGACTGAGTGACTGACTGAGTGAGTGACTGAGTGTCTGAGTGAGTGACTAACTGAGTGACTGACTGAGTGACTGACTGAGTGACTGACTGAGTGACTGACTCACCTTGTGAGCTGCACCACGGTGCTGAGCCACCCTACGAGTCACCACACCTCCCCTGGCTGGAGTGGTCAGGCTGTGTGAGTGACTGTGTGAGTGAGTGACTGACTGACTGAGTAACTGAGTGAGTGTCTGAGTGACTGTCTGAGTGAGTGACTGAGTGAGTGAGTGACTGACTCACCTTATGAGCTGCACCACGGTGCTGAGCCACCCTACGAGTCACCACACCTCCCCTGGCTGGAGTGGTGAGGCTGCTCACCCTCACCTGGCCATCTCGGGAGCTGCTCACCAGCGTGGAGTCACCGCTCTGGGGTAGGAACTTGGCCTGCACACCCACAACAACAACAACAACAATCACAACAACAACAATCACAACAACAACTACAACTATCACAACAACAACTATCACAACAACAACTACAACAATCACAACAACAACAATCACCACAACAACAACAATCACAACAACAACTATCACAACAACAACAATCACAACAACAACAATCACAACAACAACCACAATCACTACAACAACACCCACAATCACTACAACAATAACTATCACAACAACAATAACAACAACAAACAACAACATCAACAACAACAACCACAACAATCACTACAACAACAACTATCACAACAACCACAACAACAACAATCACAACACCCACAATCACTACAACAACAACAACTATCACAACAACTATCACAACAACAACAATCACAACAACAACTACAACACCCACAATCACTACAACAACAACAACTATCACAACAACAACAATCACTACAACAACAACAATCACAACAACAATCACAACAACAACAATCACTACAACAACAACAACAATCACAACAACAACAACAACAATCACAACAACAATCACTACAACAATACCCACAATCACTACAACAACAACCACAACAACAACAACAATCACAACAAAACAACAACAATCACAACAACAACAAGCACTACAACAACAATCACAACAACAACAATCACAACAACAATCACTACAACAACAATCACAACAACAACTATCACAACAACAATCACTACAACAACAACAATCACAACAACAACAATCACTACAACAACAACTATCACAACAACAATCACTACAACAACAACAATCACAACAACAACAATCACTACAACAACAACTATCACAACAACAATCACTACAACAACAACAATCACAACAACAACAATCACTACAACAACAACTATCACAACAATAATCACTACAACAACAACAATCACAACAACAACAATCACTACAACAACAACTATCACAACAACAATCACTACAACAACAACAATCACAACAACAACAATCACTACAACAACAACTATCACAACAATAATCACTACAACAACCACAGGAACAACAACAACAACAATCACAACAACAACCACAACAACAACAATCACTACAACAACAACAATCACTACAACAACAACTATCACAACAATAATCACTACAACAACCACAGGAACAACAACAACAACAATCACAACAACAACCACAACAACAACAATCACTACAACAACAACAATCACTACAACAACAACAATCACTACAACAACAATCACTACAAAAACAACCACAACAATAATCACTACAACAACCACAAGAACAACAATCACTACAACAACAACAATCACTACAACAATCACTACAACTATCACAACAACAATCACAACAACAATCACAACAACAATCACAACAACAATCACAACAACAACAATCACAACAGCCACAACAACAACAACTATCACAACAACAACAACCACAACAACAAAAACAATCACAACAACATCACAACAACAATCACAACAACAACATAAACAACAACCACAACAACAATCACTACAACAACAATCACAATAACAACTATCACAACAATAACAACAACAATCACAACAACAACGATCACAACAACAACTACCACAACAACAACCACAACAACAACAACCACAACCACAACAATCACTACAACAACAACAATCACAACAACAACCACAACAACAACAATCACTACCACAACAACAATCACAACAACAACAACCACAACAACAACAATCACTACAACAACAATCACAACAACTACCACAACAACAATCACAACAACAACAACCACAACAATCACTACAACAACAATCACAACAACAATCACAATCACAACAACATCACCATGGTAACAACCACCACCACCAACATGAGTGAGTGAGTGAGTGGTGAGTGAATAGGTGAGTGAGTAGGTGAGTGTGTAGGTGAGTGAGTAGGTGAGTGAGTGAGTGTGTAGGTGAGTGTGTAGGTGAGTGAGGTGAGTGTGTAGGTGAGTGAGTGGGTGAGTGTGTAGGTGAGTGAGTGAGTAAGTGTGTAGTTGAGTGAGTAAGTGAGTGAGTGAGTAGGTGAGTGAGTGGGTGAGTGAGTTGCTGAGTGAGTAGCTGAGTGAGTGGTGAGTGAGTGAGTGGTGAGTGAGTGAGTAGCTGAGTGAGTGAGTGGTGAGTGAGTGAGTGGTGAGTGAGTGGTGAGTGAGTGGTGAGTGAGTGAGTGAGTGGGTGAGTGAGTAGGTGAGTGAGTGAGTGAGTGGTGAGTGAGTGGTGAGTGAGTGGTGAGTGAGTGAGTGGTGAGTTAGTGGTGAGTGAGTGGGTGAGTGAGTGGGTGAGTGAGTGGGTGAGTGGTGAGTGAGTGAGTGGTGAGTGGTGAGTGAGTGAGTGAGTGGTGAGTGAGTGAGTGAGTGGTGAGTGAGTGAGTGGTGAGTGAGTGGTGAGTGAGTAGCTGAGTGAGTGAGTGGTGAGTGAGTGGTGAGTGAGTGGTGAGTGAGTAGCTGAGTGAGTGAGTGGTGAGTGAGTGAGTGGTGAGTGAGTGGTGAGTGAGTGGGTGAGTGAGTGAGTGAGTAGCTGAGTGAGTGGTGAGTGAGTGGGTGAGTGAGTGGTGAGTGGTGAGTGACTGGTGAGTGAGTAGTGAGTGAGTGGTGAGCGAGTGGTTGAGTGTGTAGCTGAGTGAGTGAGTGAGTGGTGAGTGAGTGGGTGAGTGAGTGAGTGGTGAGTGAGTGGTGAGTGAGTGGTGAGTGAGTGAGTGGTGAGTGAGTGGTGAGTGAGTGGTGAGTGAGTGACTGGGTGAGTGAGTGGTGAGTGAGTGGTGAGTGAGTGAGTGGTGAGTGAGTGAGTCGTGAGTGAGTGGTGAGTGAGTGAGTGGTGAGTGAGTGGTGAGTGAGTGGTGAGTGAGTGGTGAGTGAGTGAGTGGTGAGTGAGTGGTGAGTGAGTGACTGGGTGAGTGAGTGAGTGGGTGGGTGAGTGAGTGACTGGGTGAGTGAGTGGTTGAGTGTGTAGCTGAGTGAGTGAGTGGTGAGTGAGTGGGTGAGTGAGTGAGTAGCTGAGTGAGTGAGTGGTGGGTGAGCGAGTGAGTGAGTGAGTGGTGAGTGAGTGAGTGAGTGGTGAGTGAGTGGTGAGTGAGTGGTGAGTGGTGAGTGAGTGAGTGGTGAGTGAGTGGTGAGTGAGTGGTGAGTGAGTGAGTAGCTGAGTGAGTAGATGAGTGAGTGAGTGAGTAGTGAGTGAGTGGTGAGAGAGTGGTGAGTGAGTGGTTGAGTGTGTAGCTGAGTGAGTGGTGAGTGAGTGTGTAGCTGAGTGAGTGAGTGGGTGAGTGAGTGGTGAGTGAGTGAGTGGTGAGTGAGTAGTGAGTGAGTGAGTGGTGAGTGAGTGGTGAGTGAGTGGTTGAGTGTGTAGCTGAGTGAGTGGTGAGTGAGTGTGTAGCTGAGTGAGTGGTGAGTGAGTGGTGAGTGAGTAGCTGAGTGAGTCAGTGAGTGGGTGAGTGAGTGAGTGAGAGAGTGAGTGAGTGAGTGAGAGAGTGAGTGAGTGAGTGAGTGGGTGAGTGAGTAGCTGAGTGAGTGGTGACTGAGTGAGTGAGTGTGTGAGTGAGCGAGCGAGTGAGTGGTGAGTGAGTGGTGAGTGAGTGAGCGGTGAGTGAGTGGTGAGTGAGTGGTGAGTGAGTGAGTCAGTGAGTGAGTGAGTGAGTGGTGAGTGAGTGGTGAGTGAGTGAGTGAGTGGGTGAGTGGGTGAGTGAGTGGGTGAGTGAGTAGCTGAGTGAGTCAGTGAGTGGGTGGGTGAGTGGGTGGGTGGATGAGTGAATGAGTGGGTGGGTGAGTGAGTGAGTGGTGAGTGAGTGGTGAGTGAGTGTGTGAGTGAGTGGTGAGTGAGTGGGTGAGTGAGTGGTGAGTGAGTGGTGAGTGGGTGGTGAGTGGGTGGTGAGTGAGTGAGTGGTGAGTGAGTGGTGAGTGAGTGACTGGGTGAGTGAGTGAGTGGGTGGGTGAGTGAGTGACTGGGTGAGTGAGTGGTTGAGTGTGTAGCTGAGTGAGTGAGTGGTGAGTGAGTGGGTGAGTGAGTGAGTAGCTGAGTGAGTGAGTGGTGGGTGAGCGAGTGAGTGAGTGAGTGGTGAGTGAGTGAGTGAGTGGTGAGTGAGTGGTGAGTGAGTGGTGAGTGGTGAGTGAGTGAGTGGTGAGTGAGTGGTGAGTGAGTGGTGAGTGAGTGAGTAGCTGAGTGAGTAGCTGAGTGAGTGAGTGAGTAGTGAGTGAGTGGTGAGAGAGTGGTGAGTGAGTGGTTGAGTGTGTAGCTGAGTGAGTGGTGAGTGAGTGTGTAGCTGAGTGAGTGAGTGGGTGAGTGAGTGGTGAGTGAGTGAGTGGTGAGTGAGTAGTGAGTGAGTGAGTGGTGAGTGAGTGGTGAGTGAGTGGTTGAGTGTGTAGCTGAGTGAGTGGTGAGTGAGTGTGTAGCTGAGTGAGTGGTGAGTGAGTGGTGAGTGAGTAGCTGAGTGAGTCAGTGAGTGGGTGAGTGAGTGAGTGAGAGAGTGAGTGAGTGAGTGAGAGAGTGAGTGAGTGAGTGGGTGAGTGAGTAGCTGAGTGAGTGGTGACTGAGTGAGTGAGTGTGTGAGTGAGCGAGCGAGTGAGTGGTGAGTGAGTGGTGAGTGAGTGAGCGGTGAGTGAGTGGTGAGTGAGTGGTGAGTGAGTGAGTCAGTGAGTGAGTGAGTGAGTGGTGAGTGAGTGAGTGAGTGGGTGAGTGGGTGAGTGAGTGGGTGAGTGAGTAGCTGAGTGAGTCAGTGAGTGGGTGGGTGAGTGGGTGGGTGGATGAGTGAATGAGTGGGTGGGTGAGTGAGTGAGTGGTGAGTGAGTGGTGAGTGAGTGTGTGAGTGAGTGGTGAGTGAGTGGGTGAGTGAGTGGTGAGTGAGTGGTGAGTGGGTGGTGAGTGGGTGGTGAGTACCTGGAACACGTTAGACCGGTGCCCGCTCTCGAACTTGACCATCACATTGGCAGTGGCCCAGTTCCACAGGACGACGGAGAGATCATCTCCACTGCTAGCCAGGAGCGTGCCGGACTCGTTGAAGTGGAGAGTGTTCACACACCTGGTGAGCACACTCACCACTTGATCACCCACTCACTCACCACTCACTCACTCATTCACTCACTCACTCATTCACTCGCTCACCACTCACTCACTCACACACTCACTCACACACTCACTCACACACTCACTCACTCACCCACTCACTCACCCACTCACTCACCCACTCACTCGCTCACTCACTCGCTCACTCACTCACCACTCACTCACCACTCACTCACCACTCACTCACACACTCACACACTCACACACTCACTCACCACTCACTCACACACTCACTCACTCACACACTCACTCACTCACCCACCCACTCACTCACTCACTCACCCACCCACTCACTCACCACTCACTCACTCACCACTCACTCACTCACACACTCACCCACTCACTCATTCATTCACTCACCACTCACTCACCACTCACTCACTCACCACTCACTCACTACTCACTCACTCACCACCCACTCACCACTCACTCACTCACTCACACACGCACCCACTCACTCACCCACTCACTCACACACTCACCAATCACTCACCACTCACTCACTCCTCACTCACCACTCACTCACTCACCCACTCACCCACCCACTCACTCACCCACCCACTCACCCACTCACCCACTCACTCTCTCACTCACCCTCTCACTCTCTCACTCACCCACTCACTCACTCACTCACCCACTCACCCACCCACTCACTCACCCACTCACCCACCCACTCACTCACTCACCCACCCACTCACCTACCCACTCACTCACCCACACACTCACTCACTCACCCACTCACTCACCCACTCACTCACCCACCCACTCACTGACTCACTCACCCACCCACTCACTGACTCACTCACCCACCCACTCACCCTCCAACGCACCCACTCACTCACCCACCCACCCACTCACTCACCCACCCACTCACTGACCCACCCACCCACTCACTGACCCACTCACCCTCCCTCCCACCCACCCACTCACTCACTCACTCACCCACCCACACACTCACTCACCCTCCCTCCCACCCACCCACTCACTCACTCACTGACCCACTCACTCACTCACCCACCCACCCACCTACTCATCCACCCACCCACTCACTCACCCACCCACTCACTCACCCACCCACTCACCCACCCACCCTCCCACCTACTCACCCACCCACCCACTCACTCACCCACCCACTCACCCACTCACTCACCCACTCATCCACCCACTCATCCACCCACCCACCCACTCACTCACTCACTCACTCTCCCACTCACCCACTCACTCACCCACTCACTCACTCACCCACCCACTCACTCACCACTCACTCACTCACCACTCACTCACACACTCACCCACTCACACACTCACCACTCACTCACCACTCACTCACTCACCACTCACTCACTACTCACTCACTCCCCACCCACTCACCACTCACTCACTCACTCACACACGCACCCACTCACTCACCCACTCACTCACACACTCACCAATCACTCACCACTCACTCACTCCTCACTCACCACTCACTCACTCACCCACTCACTCACCCACTCACTCACCCACCCACCCACCCACTCACCCACTCACTCACTCACTCACCCACTCACTCTCTCACTCACCCACTCACTCACTCACTCACCCACTCACCAACTCACTCACTCACCCACTCACCCACCCACTCACTCACTCCCCCACTCACTCACCTACCCACACACTCACCCACACACTCACACACTCACCCACCCACCCACCCACTCACTCACCCACCCACTCACTGACTCACTCACCCACCCACTCACTGACTCACTCACCCACCCACTCACCCTCCAACGCACCCACTCACTCACCCACCCACCCACTCACTCACCCACCCACTCACTGACCCACCCACCCACTCACTGACCCACTCACCCTCCCTCCCACCCACTCACTCACTCACTCACCCACCCACACACTCACTCACCCTCCCTCCCACCCACCCACTCACTCACTCACTGACCCACTCACTCACTCACCCACCCACCCACCTACTCATCCACCCACCCACTCACTCACCCACCCACTCACTCACCCACCCACACACCCACCCACCCTCCCACCTACTCATCCACCCACCCACTCACTCACCCACCCACTCACCCACTCACTCACCCACTCATCCACCCACTCATCCACCCACCCACCCACTCACTCACTCACTCACTCTCCCACTCACCCACTCACTCACCCACTCACTCACTCACTCACCCACCCACCCACTCACTCACTCACCCACCCACTCACTCACACACTCACCCACTCACTCACTCACCCACCCACCCACTCACTCACTCACTCACCCACCCACTCACTCACCCACCCACCCACTCACTCACCCACTCACTCACTCACTCACCCACTCACCCACTCACTCACCCACTCACCCTCCCACTCACCCACTCACTCACTCACCCACTCATCCACTCACTCACCCACCCACTCACCCACTCACTCACCCACTCATCCACCCACTCAACCACCCACTCACCCACTCACCCACCCACACACTCACCCACTCACTCACTCACTCTCCCACTCACCCACTCACTCACTCACTCACCCACCCACTTACTCATCCACCCACCCACTCACTCACCCACCCACTCACTCACCCACCCACTCACCCACCCACCCACTCACTCACCCACCCACCCACTCACTCACCCACCCACTCACCCACTCACTAACCCACTCATCCACTCACTCATCCACCCACTCACCCACTCACTCACCCACTCACTCACCCACTCACTCGCTCACTCACTCGCTCACTCACTCACCACTCACTCACCACTCACTCACCACTCACTCACACACTCACACACTCACACACTCACTCACCACTCACTCACACACTCACTCACTCACACACTCACTCACTCACCCACCCACTCACTCACTCACTCACCCACCCACTCACTCACCACTCACTCACTCACCACTCACTCACTCACACACTCACCCACTCACTCATTCATTCACTCACCACTCACTCACCACTCACTCACTCACCACTCACTCACTACTCACTCACTCACCACCCACTCACCACTCACTCACTCACTCACACACGCACCCACTCACTCACCCACTCACTCACACACTCACCAATCACTCACCACTCACACACTCCTCACTCACCACTCACTCACTCACCCACTCACCCACCCACTCACTCACCCACCCACCCACCCACTCACCCACTCACTCTCTCACTCACCCACTCACTCTCTCACTCACCCACTCACTCACTCACTCACCCACTCACCAACTCACTCACTCACCCACTCACCCACCCACTCACTCACTCACCCACTCACTCACCTACCCACTCACTCACCCACACACTCACTCACTCACCCACCCACCCACCCACTCACTCACCCACCCACTCACTGACTCACTCACCCACCCACTCACTGACTCACTCACCCACCCACTCACCCTCCAACGCACCCACTCACTCACCCACCCACCCACTCACTCACCCACCCACTCACTGACCCACCCACCCACTCACTGACCCACTCACCCTCCCTCCCACCCACCCACTCACTCACTCACTCACCCACCCACACACTCACTCACCCTCCCTCCCACCCACCCACTCACTCACTCACTGACCCACTCACTCACTCACCCACCCACCCACCTACTCATCCACCCACCCACTCACTCACCCACCCACTCACTCATCCACCCACTCACCCACCCACCCTCCCACCTACTCATCCACCCACCCACTCACTCACCCACCCACTCACCCACTCACTCACCCACTCATCCACCCACTCATCCACCCACCCACCCACTCACTCACTCACTCACTCTCCCACTCACCCACTCACTCACCCACTCACTCACTCACCCACCCACTCACTCACCACTCACTCACTCACCACTCACTCACACACTCACCCACTCACTCATTCATTCACTCACCACTCACTCACCACTCACTCACTCACCACTCACTCACTACTCACTCACTCACCACCCACTCACCACTCACTCACTCACTCACTCACACACGCACCCACTCACTCACCCACTCACTCACACACTCACCAATCACTCACCACTCACTCACTCCTCACTCACCACTCACTCACTCACCCACTCACCCACCCACTCACTCACCCACCCACCCACTCACCCACTCACTCTCTCACTCACCCACTCACTCTCTCACTCACCCACTCACTCACTCACTCACCCACTCACCAACTCACTCACTCACCCACTCACCCACCCACTCACTCACTCACCCACTCACTCACCCACCCACTCACTCACCCACACACTCACTCACTCACCCACCCACCCACCAACTCACTCACCCACCCACTCACTGACTCACTCACCCACCCACTCACTGACTCACTCACCCACCCACTCACCCTCCAACGCACCCACTCACTCACCCACCCACCCACTCACTCACCCACCCACTCACTGACCCACCCACCCACTCACTGACCCACTCACCCTCCCTCCCACCCACCCACTCACTCACTCACTCACCCACCCACACACTCACTCACCCTCCCTCCCACCCACCCACTCACTCACTCACTGACCCACTCACTCACTCACCCACCCACCCACCTACTCATCCACCCACCCACTCACTCACCCACCCACTCACTCACCCACCCACTCACCCACCCACCCTCCCACCTACTCATCCACCCACCCACTCACTCACCCACCCACTCACCCACTCACTCACCCACTCATCCACCCACTCACCCACCCACCCACCCACTCACTCACTCACTCACTCTCCCACTCACCCACTCACTCACCCACTCACTCACTCACTCACCCACCCACCCACTCACTCACTCACTCACCCACCCACTCACTCACACACTCACCCACTCACTCACTCACCCACCCACCCACTCACTCACTCACTCACCCACCCACTCACTCACCCACCCACCCACTCACTCACCCACTCACTCACTCACTCTCCCACTCACCCACTCACTCACCCACTCACCCTCCCACTCACCCACTCACTCACTCACCTACTCATCCACTCACTCACCCACCCACTCACCCACTCACTCACCCACTCATCCACCCACTCATCCACCCACTCACCCACTCACCCACCCACACACTCACCCACTCACTCACTCACTCTCCCACTCACCCACTCACTCACTCACTCACCCACCCACTTACTCATCCACCCACCCACTCACTCACCCACCCACTCACTCACCCACCCACTCACCCACCCACCCACTCACTCACCCACCCACCCACTCACTCACCCACCCACTCACCCACTCACTAACCCACTCATCCACCCACTCATCCACCCACTCACCCACTCACCCACCCACTCACTCACCCACTCACTCACTCACTCTCCCACTCACCCACTCACTCACCCACTCACCCACTCACCCACTCACTCACCCACTCACTCACTCACTCACCCACCCACCCACTCACTCACTCACTCACCCACCCACCCACTCACTCACCCACCCACCCACTCACTCACTCTCCCACTCACCCACTCACTCACCCACTCACCCTCCCACTCACCCACTCACTCACTCACCTACTCATCCACCCACTCACTCACCCACTCACTCACCCACTCACTCACCCACTCACTCACTCACTCACCCACTCACTCACCCACTCACTCACCCACTCACTCACTCACCCACCCACTCACCCACTCACCCACCCACCCACTCACTCACCCACTCACTCACTCACTCTCCCCTCACCCACTCACTCACCCACTCACCCACTCACCAACTCACTCACTCACCCACTCATCCACCCACTCATCCACCCACTCACCCACTCACCCACCCACTCACTCATTCACTCACCCACTCACTCACCCACCCACCCACCCACTCACTCACCCACCCACTCACCCACCCACTCACTCACCCACCCACCCACTCACTCACCCACCCACCCACTCACTCACCCACCCACTCACCCACCCACTCACTCACCCACCCACCCACTCACTCACCCACTCACTCACTCACTCTCCCACTCACCCACTCACTCACCCACTCACTCACCCACCCACCCACCTACTCATCCACCCACCCACTCACTCACCCACCCACTCACTCACCCACCCACTCACCCACCCACCCTCCCACCTACTCATCCACCCACCCACTCACTCACCCACCCACTCACCCACTCACTCACCCACTCATCCACCCACTCATCCACCCACTCACCCACTCACCCATCCACTCACTCACCCACTCACTCACTCACTCTCCCACTCACCCACTCACTCACTCACTCACCCACCCACCTACTCATCCACCCACCCACTCACTCACCCACCCACTCACTCACCCACCCACTCACCCACCCACCCACTCACTCACCCACCCACCCACTCACTCACCCACCCACTCACCCACTCACTCACCCACTCATCCACCCACTCATCCACCCACTCACCCACTCACTCACCCACTCACTCACTCACTCTCCCACTCACCCACTCACTCACCCACTCACCCACTCACCCACTCACTCACCCACTCACTCACTCACCCACCCACCCACTCACTCACTCACCCACTCACCCACTCACTCACCCACCCACCCACTCACCCACTCACCCACCCACTCACCCACCCACTCACCCACCCACTCACTCACTCACCCACCCACTCACCCACTCACTCACCCACCCACTCACTCACCCACTCACCCACCCACTCACTCACTCACCCACCCACTCACTCACCCACCCACTCACCCACCCACTCACCCACCCACCCACTCACCCACTCACCCACCCACTCACCCACCCACTCACCCACCCACTCACTCACTCACCCACCCACCCACTCACTCACTCACCCACCCACCCACCCACTCACCCACCCACCCACTCACTCACTCACCCACCCACCCACTCACTCACTCACCCACCCACTCACCCACTCACTCACCCACCCACTCACTCACCCACTCACTCACCCACTCACTCACCCACCCACCCACCCACTCACTCACCCACCCACCCACCCACTCACTCACCCACTCACTCACCCACTCACTCACCCACCCACTCACTCACCCACTCACCCACTCACTCACCCACCCACTCACCCACCCACTCACCCACTCACTCACCCACTCACTCACTCACCCACTCACTCACCCACTCACTCACCCACTCACTCACTCACTCACCCACCCACTCACCCACTCACCCACCCACTCACCCACTCACCCACTCACCCACCCACTCACCCACCCACTCACCCACCCACTCACTCACTCACCCACCCACCCACTCACTCACTCACCCACCCACCCACCCACTCACCCACCCACCCACTCACTCACTCACCCACCCACCCACTCACTCACTCACCCACCCACTCACCCACTCACTCACCCACCCACTCACTCACCCACTCACTCACCCACTCACTCACCCACCCACCCACCCACTCACTCACCCACTCACTCACCCACCCACTCACCCACCCTCCCACCCTCCTACCCACCCACTCACTCACCCACCCACCCACCCACCCTCCCTCCCACCCACCCACTCACTCACCCACTCACTCACCCACTCACTCACCCACTCACTCACCCACCCACCCACCCTCCCACCTACTCATCCACCCACTCACTCACCCACTCACCCTCCCACTCACCCACCCACCCACTCACCCACTCACTCACCCACTCACCCACTCACTCACCCACTCACTCACTCACCCACTCACTCACCCACTCACCCACTCACTCACTCACCCACTCACTCACTCACCCACTCACCCACTCACTCACTCACCCACTCACTCACTCACCCACTCACTCACTCACCCACTCACTCACTCACTCACCCTCCCACCCACCCACCCACTCACCCACCCACTCACCCACTCACTCACCCACCCACTCACCCTCCCACCCACCCACCCACTCACCCACCCACTCACTCACCCACCCACCCACCCTCCCACCCACTCCCCCACCCACCCACCCACTCACTCACCCACCCACCCACTCATCCACTCACCCACTCACCCAGTCACCCACTCGCTCACCCACCCACCCACTCACCCACCCACCCACTCACCCACTCACCCAGTCACCCACTCACCCACTCACCCACCCACTCACTCACTCACTCACCCACTCACTCACTCACTCACCCACTCACTCACCCACTCACTCACTCACCCACCCACCCACTCACTCACCCACTCACCCACCCACCCACCCACTCACTCACCCACTCACTCACCCACTCACCCACCCACTCACTCACCCACTCACTCACTCACTCACCCACTCACTCACCCACTCACTCACTCACCCACCCACCCACTCACTCACCCACTCACCCTCCCACCCACTCACTCACCCACTCACCCACCCACCCACCCACTCACTCACCCACTCACTCACTCACTCACCCACTCACTCACCCACTCACTCACTCACCCACCCACCCACTCACTCACCCACTCACCCTCCCACCCACCAACTCACCCACCCACCCACTCACTCACTCACCCACTCTCACTCACCCACCCACCCACCCACTCACTCACCCACTCACCCACTCACCCACTCACCCACCCACTCACCCACCCACCCACTCACCCACCCACCCACCCACTCACTCACCCACCCACTCACTCACCCACTCACTCACCCACCCACCCACTCACTCACCCACCCACTCACCCACTCACTCACTCACCCACCCACTCACCCACCCACTCACTCACCCACTCACCCACCCACTCACTCACTCACCCACTCACTCACCCACCCACTCACCCACCCACCAACCCTCCCACCCACCCGTGGTGACGCTGCAGGCTCTGCTGGAGGCGTAGGCGCCGAACCAACGTACGAGAACCCCGAGCTCCGAGGGCGAAGGCGAGCGGCGTGGAGGCTCCACATCGGAGAGCTCCAAGAGCCACAGGGGCCAGCCATAGTGGGGGGGTGGTGGGTGACGTGTCAGAGGTGAGCCACACCTAGTGGGGGGTTAGTGGGGGGGTGGTGGGTGGGTGGTGGGTGGGGGGACGTGTCAGAGGTGAGCCACACCTAGTGGGGGGTTAGTGGGGGGGGGGTGGGTGGGGTGGTGAGTGGGGGGGTGAGTGACTGAGTGGGGGAGTGAGTGAGTGAGTGGGTGGGTGAGTGGGTGAGTGGGTGGGTGAGTGGGTGAGTGGGTGGGTGGGTGAGTGAGTGGGTGGGTGAGTGGGTGAGTGAGTGGGTGAGTGGGTGAGTGAGTGGGTGAGTGGGTGAGTGGGTGGGTGAGTGGGTGAGTGGGTGGGTGAGTGAGTGGGTGGGTGAGTGGGTGAGTGAGTGGGTGAGTGGGTGGGTGAGTGGGTGAGTGAGTGGGTGAGTGGGTGGGTGAGTGGGTGAGTGGTTGAGTGAGTGAGTGAGTGGGTGGGTGAGTGGGTGAGTGGGTGAGTGAGTGAGTGGGTGGGTGAGTGGGTGAGTGGGTGGGTGAGTGGGTGAGTGAGTGGGTGAGTGAGTGAGTGAGTGGGTGGGTGGGTGGGTGAGTGAGTGAGTGGGTGAGTGAGTGGGTGAGTGGGTGAGTGGGTGAGTGAGTGAGTGAGTGGGTGAGTGAGTGAGTGAGTGGGTGAGTGAGTGAGTGGGTGAGTGAGTGAGTGAGTGGGTGAGTGGGTGAGCGAGTGGGTGCGTGGGTGATTGATTGGGTGAGTGGGTGGGTGGGTGAGTGATTGAGGGGGTGGGTGGATGGGTGAGTGACTGAGTGGGCGGGTGAGTGACTGAGTGGGTGGGTGAGTGAGTGGGTGAGTGGGTGAGCGAGTGGGTGAGCGAGGGAGTGAGTGGGTGAGTGAGAGAGTGGGTGAGTGAGTGAGTGAGTGTGTGGGTGGGTGGGTGAGTGAGTGGGTGGGTGGGTGAGTGAGTGAGTGAGTGGGTGAGCGAGTGATTGAGTGGGTGGGTGAGTGATTGAGTGGGTGAGTGGGTGAGTGAGTGGGTGGGTGAGTGATTGAGTGGGTGAGTGAGTGACTGAGTGGGTGAGTGACTGTGTGAGTGGGTGGGTGAGTGAGTGAGTGAGTGGGTGAGTGAGTGGGTGAGTGAGTGGGTGAGTGAGTGAGTGGGTGGGTGGGTGGGTGAGTGAGTGAGTGGGTGAGTGAGTGGGTGAGTGGGTGAGTGGGTGAGTGAGTGAGTGAGTGGGTGAGTGAGTGAGTGAGTGAGTGGGTGAGTGAGTGAGTGGGTGAGTGAGTGAGTGAGTGGGTGAGTGGGTGAGCGAGTGGGTGCGTGGGTGATTGATTGGGTGAGTGGGTGGGTGGGTGAGTGATTGAGGGGGTGGGTGGATGGGTGAGTGACTGAGTGGGCGGGTGAGTGACTGAGTGGGTGGGTGAGTGAGTGGGTGAGTGGGTGAGCGAGTGGGTGAGCGAGGGAGTGAGTGGGTGAGTGAGTGAGTGGGTGAGTGAGTGAGTGAGTGTGTGGGTGGGTGGGTGAGTGAGTGGGTGGGTGGGTGAGTGAGTGAGTGAGTGGGTGAGCGAGTGATTGAGTGGGTGGGTGAGTGATTGAGTGGGTGAGTGGGTGAGTGAGTGGGTGGGTGAGTGATTGAGTGGGTGAGTGAGTGACTGAGTGGGTGAGTGACTGTGTGAGTGGGTGGGTGGATGGGTGAGTGAGTGAGTGAGTGGGTGAGTGAGTGGGTGAGTGAGTGAGTGAGTGGGTGAGTGAGTGAGTGAGTGAGTGGGTGGGTGAGTGAGTGAGTGAGTGGGTGAGTGAGTGGGTGAGTGAGTGAGTGAGTGGGTGAGTGAGTGAGTGAGTGGGTGGGTGGGTGAGTGAGTGAGTGAGTGGGTGAGCGAGTGGGTGAGTGGGTGAGTGAGTGGGTGAGTGAGTGAGTGAGTGGGTGAGCGAGTGGGTGAGTGGGAGAGTGAGTGAGTGGGTGAGTGAGTGAGTGAGTGGGTGAGCGAGTGGGTGAGTGGGTGATTGATTGGGTGAGTGAGTGAGTGGGTGAGCGAGTGGGTGAGTGGGTGAGTGAGTGAGTGAGTGAGTGGGTGGGTGAGTGAGTGGGTGAGTGAGTGGGTGATTGATTGGGTGAGTGAGTGAGTGGGTGAGTGAGTGGGTGAGTGAGTGAGTGAGTGGGTGAGTGAGTGAGTGAGTGGGTGGGTGGGTGAGTGAGTGAGTGAGTGGGTGAGCGAGTGGGTGAGTGGGTGAGTGAGTGGGTGAGTGGGTGAGTGAGTGAGTGGGTGAGTGAGTGGGTGGGTGAGTGAGTGGGTGAGTGAGTGGGTGAGTGAGTGGGTGGGTGAGTGAGTGGGTGGGTGATGACGTCACCTCTAAGGCAGCTTCCTCATTGGTGGATGCCGCAGAAGAAGAATCTGATGACGATGACGACTTCCCAACTCTCCCAACCTCCTCCACCTCGTCCACCTCGTCCACCTCGTCCACCTCCTGCTCGTCCACCTCGTCATCTACGTCTCCATCACCTCGTTGGGATTCTGAGAGAGACACGGGGAGAGATATCATCACCACAACCACCTTCACCACCATCATCATCATCACCACAACCACCTTCACCACCATCATCATCATCACCATCATCACCATCATCACCATCACCACAACCACCATTATCATCACCACCATCATCACCATCATCATCACCACCATCATCACCATCACCATCATCACCATCACCACAACCACCATTATCATCACCATCATCATCACAACCACCATCATCACAACCACCACCATCACCACCACCACCATCACCACCACCACCATCACCACCACCACCACCATCACCACCACCATCACCACCACCACCATCACCACCACCATCACCATCACCACCATCACCACCACCATCACCATCACCACCATCACCACCACCACCATCACCACCATCACCACCATCACCATCACCACCACCATCACCACCATCACTACCACCACCATCAACACCACCATCACCACCACCACCACCACCATCACCACCACCATCACCACCACCATCACCACCACCACCATCACCACCACCATCACCACCACCACCACCATCACCACCACCACCATCACCACCACCATCACCACCACCACCATCACCACCATCACCACCATCACCACCACCATCATCATCACCACCACCACCACCATCATCACCATCATCACCATCACCACCACCACCACCACCATCATCACCATCACCACCATCATCACCATCACCACCACCATCACCACCACCACCACCATCACCACCACCATCACCACCATCACCACCATCACCACCACCACCATCACCACCACCACCACCATCACCACCACCACCATCACCACCATCACCATCACCACCATCACCATCACCACCATCACCACCATCATCACCACCACCATCACCACCACCATCACCACCACCATCACCACCATCACCACCATCACCACCACCACCATCACCACCACCACCATCACCACCATCACCACCACCATCACCACCACCACCATCACCACCACCACCATCACCACCATCACCACCACCATCACCATCACCACCATCACCACCAACATCACCACCATCACCACCACCACCACCATCATCACCATCACCACCATCACCACCACCATCACCACCACCACCACCATCACCACCACCACCACCATCACCACCACCACCATCACCACCATCACCATCACCACCACCATCACCACCACCATCACCACCACCATCACCACCATCACCACCATCACCATCACCACCACCATCACCACCACCATCACCACCACCATCACCACTACCACCATCACCACCATCACCATCACCACCACCACCATCACCACCACCACCACCATCACCACCATCACCATCACCACCACCATCACCATCACCACCACCACCATCACCACCATCACCACCACCATCACCACCATCACCATCACCACCACCATCACCACCACCACCATCACCACCACCATCACCACCACCACCATCACCACCACCATCACCACCATCACCACCACCATCACCACCACCACCATCACCACCACCACCATCACCACCACCATCACCATCACCACCATCACCACCAACATCACCACCATCACCATCACCACCACCATCACCACCACCACCACCATCACCACCACCATCACCACCACCATCACCACCATCACCACCACCATCACCACCACCATCACCACCACCATCACCATCACCACCACCATCACCACCACCATCACCACCACCATCACCACCACCATCACCACCACCATCACCACCATCACCACCATCACCACCACCATCACCACCACCACCATCACCACCACCATCACCATCACCACCATCACCACCATCACCACTAACATCACCACCACCATCACCACCATCATCACCATCACCACCATCACCACCACCACCATCACCACCACCATCACCACCACCATCACCACCACCATCACCATCACCACCACCATCACCACCACCATCACCACCACCATCATCACCATCACCACCATCACCATCACCACTACCACTATCACCACCACCACCACCATCACCACCATCACCATCACCACCACCATCACCACCACCATCATCACCATCACCACCACCATCACCACCACCATCACCACTACCATCACCACCACCATCACCACCACCATCACCATCACCACCACCATCACCACCACCATCACCACCACCATCACCACCACCATCACCACCACCATCACCACCATCACCATCACCACCATCACCACCATCACCATCACCACCACCATCACCACCACCATCACCATCACCACCACCATCACCACCACCATCACCACTACCACCACCACCACCATCACCACCATCACCATCACCACCACCATCACCATCACCACCACCATCACCACCACCATCACCACCACCACCATCACCACCACCATCACCACCACCACCATCACCACCATCACCACCACCACCATCATCATCACCACCACCACCATCACCACCACCACCATCACCACCATCACCATCACCACCACCATCATCACCACCACCATCACCATCACCACCACCATCATCACCACCACCACCATCACCACCATCACCATCACCACCATCACCACCACCATCACCACCACCATCACCACCACCACCATCACCACCACCATCACCACCATCACCACCACCACCACCATCACCACCACCATCACCACCACCACCACCATCACCACCACCATCACCACCACCATCACCACCACCATCACCACCATCACCACCACCACCACCATCACCACCACCATCACCACCACTACCACCACCACTACCACCATCACCACCACCATCACCACCACCACCATCACCACCACCATCACCACCATCACCATCACCACCACCATCACCACCATCACCACCACCACCATCACCACCACCACCATCACCACCACCACCACCATCACCACCACCACCATCACCACCATCACCACCATCACCATCACCACCATCATCACCACCATCACCACCATCACCACCACCACCATCACCACCACCATCACCACCACCATCACCACCACCATCACCACCACCACCACCATCACCACCACCACCACCATCACCACCACCATCACCACCACCATCACCACCACCATCACCACCACCACCACCATCACCACCACCATCACCACCACCACCACCACCATCACCACCACCATCACCACCACCATCACCACCACCATCACCACCACCACCATCACCACCACCACCACCATCACCACCATCACCACCATCACCACCACCATCACCACCATCACCACCACCATCACCACCATCACCATCACCACCACCATCACCACCACCATCACCACCACCACCATCACCACCATCACCACCACCACCACCATCACCACCACCACCATCACCACCATCACCACCACCATCACCACCACCACCACCATCACCACCACCACCATCACCACCACCACCACCACCATCACCACCATCACCACCATCACCACCACCATCACCACCACCACCATCACCACCACCATCACCACCACCATCACCACCACCACCATCACCACCATCACCACCACCACCACCATCACCACCACCACCATCACCACCATCACCACCACCACCACCATCACCACCACCACCATCACCACCATCACCACCATCACCATCACCACCACCATCACCACCACCACCATCACCACCACCACCATCACCACCACCACCATCACCACCACCATCACCACCACCATCACCACCACCATCACCATCACCACCACCACCACCACCATCACCACCATCACCACCACCACCATCACCACCACCATCACCACCATCACCACCACCACCATCACCACCACCACCACCATCACCACCACCACCATCACCACCACCATCACCACCATCACCACCATCACCACCACCATCACCACCACCACCACCATCACCACCATCACCACCATCACCACCACCATCACCACCACCATCACCACCATCACCATCACCACCACCATCACCACCACCACCACCATCACCACCACCATCACCATCACCACCATCACCACCACCATCACCACCACCATCATCACCATCACCACCACCATCACCACCATCACCACCATCACCACCACCATCACCATCACCACCACCACCATCACCACCACCACCATCACCACCACCACCATCACCACCACCACCATCACCACCACCACCACCATCACCACCACCACCATCACCACCATCACCACCATCACCATCACCACCACCATCACCACCACCACCATCACCACCACCACCATCACCACCACCACCATCACCACCACCATCACCACCACCATCACCACCACCATCACCATCACCACCACCACCATCACCACCATCACCACCACCACCATCACCACCACCATCACCACCATCACCACCACCACCATCACCACCACCACCATCACCACCACCACCATCACCACCACCATCACCACCATCACCACCATCACCACCACCATCACCACCACCACCACCATCACCACCATCACCACCATCACCACCACCATCACCACCACCATCACCACCATCACCATCACCACCACCATCACCACCACCACCACCACCATCACCACCACCATCACCATCACCACCATCACCACCACCATCACCACCACCATCATCACCATCACCACCACCATCACCACCATCACCACCACCATCACCATCACCACCACCACCATCACCACCATCACCATCACCACCATCACCATCACCACCATCACCACTACCACCACCATCACCACCACCACTCACCTCTATCTGCCATGTCCTCTTGTGCCTCCTCTTCGTTACTTCGTCACCACCTCGTTACCCCCCCCCCCTCGTCACCTCCTCACGTGACCACCTCGTCACCACCTCGTTACCCCCCCCACCACTCGTCACCTCCTCACGTGACCACCTCCTCACGTGACCACCTCGTCACCACCTCCTCACGTGACCACCTCGTCACCACCTCGTCACCTCCTCCTCACGTGACCACCTCGTTACCCTTACCCCACTCGTCACCTCCTCACGTCACCACCTCGTTACCCCCCTCCCCCCCTCCCACCACTCGTCACCTCCTCACGTGACCACCTCGTCACCACCTCCTCACGTGACCACCTCGTCACCACCTCCTCACGTCACCACCTCGTCACCACCTCGTCAACTCAACGGCGCCTTCGCTCCCGCTGCCGAGGCTTTTGGAGCGACCCAGGCCGCTGGCGACTCTTGGCCAATCACAGAGCGTGGACGCCTTTTCGCCCCGCCCACAATCCGCGTGACGTCACCGAAACACCCCTCGCCACTCGCGTGACGTCACCAGACAAGCCACCCCCACACCTCCTCCGCCTGATTGACGTCACCGGCCATGCTCGCCCCTCCCCCTGCGTGACGTCGCCGTAACAACCCCCCATACACGTGACGTCATCCGCTAACCCTCCCCCCGCCCCGCGTGAAACACTCCCCCGCTTCCCGCGTGACGTCACCAAACCACCACGCGCGTGACGTCAAAATGCCACACACTCCAAAGACGTCACCGAAAAACCCCTTTACCCACCGCGTGACGTCACCGGAACCCACCCCCACTTCGTGATGTCATCAGCTGCCCACACCCACGTGACCATCAACAGCTCTCTTACCTCTCCCCACGTGACGTTGATTCCAAATCCGAAGTTGACGACGAGGCACTGGTCGGCCATGTTGGTAGAGGGTACAAAAATTTAGTTTTTTTAATATTCTTGGTTCTTTCGGTAAAGTCACCACCACGTAGAAGGGAAACAATAAAATAATAAAAATATAAAACAATAAAATTATTATTCTTGGTTCTTTCGGTAAAGTCATGTAGAAGGGAAACAATAAAATAATAAAAATATAAAGCAATAAAATTATTTATTTATTTATTATTCTTGCTTCTTTGGGTAAAGTCACCACCACGTAGAAAGGAAACAATAAAATAATAAAAATTATAAAACAATAAAATTATTGTAAAACAATAAAATTATTATTCTTGGTTCTTTGGGTAAAGTCACCACCACGTAGAAGGGAAACAATAAAATAATAAACATTATAAAACACAATAAAATTATTGTAAAACAATAAAATTATTATTCTTGGTTCTTTGGGTAAAGTCACCACCACGTAGAAGGGAAACAATAAAATAATAAAAACATAAAACAATAAAATTGTTGTAATACAATAAAATTATTATTCTTGGTTCTTTGGGTAAAGTCACCACCACGTTAGAAGGGAAACAATAAAATAATAAAAATTATAAAACACAATAAAATGATTGTAAAACAATAAAATTATTATTCTTGATTCTTTGAGTAAAGTCACCACCACGTAGAAGGGAAACAATAAAATAATAAAAATTATAAAACACAATAAAATCATTGTAAAACAAGAAAATTATTATTCTTGGTTCTTTGGGTAAAGTCACCACCACGTAGAAGGGAAACAATAAAATAATAAAAACATAAAACAATAAAATTATTGTAAAACAATAAAATTAGTATTCTTGGTTCTTTGGGTAAAGTCACCACCACGTTAGAAGGGAAACAATAAAATAATAAAAATATAAAACAATAAAATTATTGTAAAACAATAAAATTATTATTCTTGGTTCTTTGGGTAAAGTCACCACCGCGTTAGAAGGGGAACAATAAAATCATAAAAATATAAAACACAATAAAATTATTATTCTTGGTTCTTTGGGTAAAGTCACCACCACGTAGAAGGGAAACAATAAAATAATAAAAATATAAAACAATAAAATTATTGTAAAACAATAAAATTATTATTCTTGGTTCTTTGGGTAAAGTCACCACCACGTAGAAGGGAAACAATAAAATAATAAACATATAAAACAATAAAATTATTGTAATACTATAAAATTATTATTCTTGGTTCTTTGGGTAAAGTCACCGCCACGTAGAAGGGAAACAATAAAATAACAAAAAATATAAAACAATAAAATCCTCACGGACGTTTCGACTTTACCGAAAGAATCAAGAATATTAACTTTTTGATTTAAAGCTTTCGTGACTGCAGTGATTCGTATTCTTAGCTCTCTTTCGGTAAAGTCACCACCACGTTGAAGGGAAACAATAAAATAATAAAAATATATATAAAACAATAAAAAATTATCACGGACGTTTCGACCGTAACACAAACGGTCGTCATCAGGTGTGTCGGTTTACATTAATTTATTTATTTTAAAACGGTGTATTTATTTTAAAAAACGTTAGCGCCACGTGCAGCGATTTGGCATTTTATTTAGAAGGACGAGTCCATCTATGTTCTGAAAAGAGGAGGGGGAGACGAAAAATTAATGTATGCTGTCTGAAAGCCACCGTAAGCGTGAACAATCAATTAAGACCCTAAATGGTTTAATCAAATCCTTCCAATGATTGCTAAGCCCAGAATCCATCTTCTCGGTTGAAATTGTGTCTCTGTGTTTTGTATACGCGGATATCCTCGTGAACGAATCTCTCATGGTAACCGTAAGCGTGAACTAATCAATTAAGACCCGAAATGGTTTCATCAAATCCTTCCAATGATTGCTAAGCCCAGAATCCATCTTCTCGGTTGAAATTGTGTCTCTGTGTTTGTATACGCGGATAGCCTCGTGAACGAATCTCTCATGGTAACCGTAAGCGTGAACTAATCAATTAAGACCCGAAATGGTTTTATCAAATCCTTCCAATGATTGCTAAGCTCAGAATCCATCTTCTCGGTTGAAATTGTGTCTCTGTGTTTGTATATGTGGATAGCCTCGTGAACGAATCTCTCATGGTAACCGTAAGCGTGAACAATCAATTAAGACCCGAAAAGGTTTATGAACTCCTTCCAATGATTGCTAAGCCCAGAATCCATCTGCTCGGTTTAAATTGTGTCTCTGTGCTTGTATACGTGGATAGCCTCGTGAACGAATCTCTCATGGTAGCCGTAAGCGTGAACTAATCAATTAAGACCCGAAAGAGTTTTATCAAATCCTTCCAATGATTGCTAAGCCCAGAATCCATCTGCTCAGTTGAAATTCTCTCCGTGTTTTGTATACGCGGATAGCCTCGTGAACGAATCTCTCATGGTAACCGTAAGCGTGAACTAATCAATTAAGACCCGAAATGGTTTATCAAATCCTTCCAATGATTGCTAAGCTCAGAATCCATCTTCTCGGTTGAAATTGTGTCTCTGTGTTTGTATATGTGGATAGCCTCGTGAACGAATCTCTCATGGTAACCGTAAGCGTGAACAATCAATTAAGACCCGAAAAGGTTTATGAACTCCTTCCAATGATTGCTAAGCCCAGAATCCATCTTCTCGGTTGAAATTGTGTCTCTGTGTTTGTATACTTGGATAGCCTCGTGAACGAATCTCTCATGGTAACCGTAAGCGTGAACAATCAATTAAGACCCGAAATGGTTTTATCAAATCCTTCCAATGATTGCTAAGCCCAGAATCCATCTTCTCGGTTGAAATTGTGTCTCTGTGCTCGTATATGTGGATAGCCTCGTGAACGAATCTCTCATGGTAACCGTAAGCGTGAACAATCAATTAAGACCCGAAATGGTTTTATCAAATCCTTCCAATGATTGCTAAGCCCAGAATCCATCTTCTCGGTTGAAATTGTGTCTCTGTTTGTATATGAGGATAGCCTCGTGAACGAATCTCTCATGGTAACCGTAAGCGTGAACAATCAATTAAGACCCGAAATGGTTTTATGAAATCCTTCCAATGATTGCTAAGCCCAGAATCCATCTTCTCGGTTGAAATTGTGTCTCTGTGCTTGTTATACGTGGATAGCCTCGTGAACGAATCTCTCATGGTAGCTAACAAAGAACCTCTGTCTCATAGACAACAACAACAACACGGACACTCTCTGTCACTCACCACTGCTCCAGTTCCATTTATTTAGGTATAGCAACAACAAACAACAACAACAAAACAACATCTTAAAGTGACTGCGTGTGACTTTGTGCAAAGGGAAAATCTAGGGGGGGGGGACAAATATAAAAACGTAAAAATATTCCCCGAAAAAGCACCGTGCAACTCAAGCTGTGTGCAAAAATCACCAGTGGGGATATACAAGTCAAAGCGAGCAAACCCTCCTCACCCAAGATGGACGTCAGTGGCCAGAGAGCAGGCGGCCATCTTACGTAGGTGCGGATGTGTGTGTAGCAAGTAACCCTCACTGTTTTTAAAAAAAAAATTCTCACTGTGGTTTTCACACCCTGATGATGATTGCTGCTTTGTGTTGCAGTCGAAACGTCGTGAGAATTTTATATTGTTTTATATTTTTATTATTTGCCAAAACCACAGCAATATTTTTTCTCGCAGTGGTTTTCACACCTGATGATGATTGCTTATGTTGCAGTCTAAACGTCGTGAGAAGTGTATTGTTTTATATTTTTATTATTTGTGAAAGCCACTGCAAGAAATTTTTCTTGCTGTGATTTTCACACCCTGATGATGATTGCTGCTTTGTGTTGCAGTTGAAACGTCGTGAGAATTTTATATTGTTTTATATTTTTATTTTTGTATTGTTTCCCTTCTACGTGGTGACATTACCGAAAGAACCAAGAATTAGAATCACTGCAGTCACTGAAAGCTTTAAATAAAAAATTTACCCAAAGAACCAAGAATAAGTAACCCTCACTTAAGATGGAGACGTCAGTGCCAAGGGACTTGGCGGCCATCTTACGTAGGGGTGGCTTGAGAGGTGGTGTCGGGAGTATAGCACTTCCACACTGCGCATAGACTTCAATGTTAAAGTGTCTACCCATAGACTTCAATGTTAAAGTGTCTACCCATAGACTTCAATGTTAAAGTGTCTACCCATAGACTTCAATGTTAAAGTGTCTACCCATAGACTTCAATGTTAAAGTGTCTACTCATAGACTTCAATGTTAAAGTGT